ACCACCCCAACCCAACCCGAAGACCCGAATTTCGGGTTGGGGGGGGTACGGGTTCCATACGTGTTTTCTCGATGTTCCCCGACCCCCCCCAACTGGAAATGGAGGGCAAATCGAGATCTTCGGGTTGGGTTGGGGTGGTTTGGTGGGTGGTGATCCTTGGCCCGGAAGACCCGCCAAGTTGGCCGGGGCTGCGGGTCGGCTGCGGGCGGCCCCCGACCAGAGGGCGCGGCCCTGACAGAGCGCACTCCGGCACACCGGCACCGGTGGCATCGTGCAGGAACCGACGGGCGTCGCTTCGATCAGCGGGTCTGGGAACGATTTTGTTTTTTTGTTTGGGCCGCGACGCACCACACGTACTCTCCACACCGCCTGCCAGGCCCAACACAAACAACTTGGGCTCACACGTCAGCGGGTCTGGGAACGATGCTCTCCGTGCTGCGCTGCCATGGGCGGCTTGGCTTGCCGCAGACAGACGCAATTGTGCGTCGCAGCTGGCGCGGGGCACGGGCGTCCTGGCGCTCGGCGACTGCCCGTCCGTAGTTCCACGGGACGTTGACAAGTGCACTCGGTTCCTCGCCCGCGGCCCTGCCGGACAGGATCCTTGCTTTCGGGGGAGGACCAACCATTGGCTGATCCGAAGCAACAGGATGCTAACACCCGCGGCGTCACCCTCGCTGGCGGTGAAGCGCGTGGCGCTGGCCCCACGCAGCCTGTAGCAGCTGTCTGCTGCTTTCGGGGTCGTTCCTCGGTCCTCGGCCAGGTCGGCGGAGGCTGCGAAACCCTGCTAACCAGACATCGAACAGTAGATTGCCTTGCTGCGTTTGGATCGATCCCCGCATCGGAAAATTGCCACCGAATGTCCAGGTCGTCGTCATGCAGAGCATGGTGGTCTTGCTTAACCCACCCTCCTTCGGGATGCGTGCGATGTGGCCGCGTGCAGTGCTCGTCTCCAGGTTGGCCGTGGTCGGCTCTGGTTCGCCAGCCCAGGGAACAGGGCCAGCGAGCCAGTCGGGCGGATCAGGGTCGATCGCCCGAGCAGCGCCTGCGTCCGTCCATTCGCGCCACTGCCTATCTTGCGGCTGATCAGATGCGCGGCGGGAAGCACCGTGGGTGTTGACATCCTGTAAAACTTGCCACGGTGGACCATTATTATCGAAGACGCCTACGGCGAATCACCGCCGCCCCCTGCCTTTTTGGAAGCGCCTATGTGGCCGAAAGTTGAGGCCAGACCTGCCAAGCTATCGGACCATGTGTTGCCCGAATCGGTTTGGAAAGCCTTCGGGGAACACGCGGGCATCTTGAAGGTAATCTTGGCCGTCTGGAGGCCATTTTGACCCTTTCGGGCCTTCTTGGAGTCATGGAGGGCTCTTGGGCCGTCTTGGAGGTCATCTTGAGCGTCTTGGAGGCCTCTTGGGCCGTCTTATGGGGCCTCTTGGGGCCGTCTTGGGCCTCTTGGGCGACCGTTGGGGGCACTTGGGCGCCGCCGTCCTGGAGCCGGGCCGTCGGAAGACTGACCAAACAGCAAATGCCCAAACCCTTCAAAAACTCATGGGTAATCAATGAATTTGGCCTTTTTGGGCCGTCCTGGAGGTTCTCTTGGAGGCCTCTTGGGCCGTCTTGGGCCATCTTAGGGCCATGTTGGGCCGTCTTGGTGGGCTCTTCACCCGCCTGATGCCGTCGGAAGCCGTTTGGAGGGCCTCTCTGGGCCGACTTGGAGCCCTCTTGGAATGCTATAGGGCCGTCTTGGAGGCCATCTTGGGGTGTTTCAAGGCCTCCTGGGCCGTCTTGGGGGCCTCTTGGGGCCGTCTTGGGTGCCTCTTGGGCCGTTCTGGGGCCATCTTGGAGGCCTCTTGGGCGATCTTGGTGCGATCTTTGGGGGCTATTGGGCCGTCTCGGGCCGTCGGAAGGCCGAAAAGACGCAAATGTTAAAATCCTTCAAAACCTAAGGGAAACCAATGATTCTGGTCTCTTCGAGCCCTCCTGGGTGCCCTTTTGGAGGCCTCTTGTGTCGTCTTGGGCTAGCCTAGAGCCAACTTCGGCCATCTTGGTGGGCTCCTGGCCTTTTGAGGTTTACCCTAGGCCTACCTAGGGTTACCCATTCTCACCTTAGGCCTGATTCGCCCGTCTGACGCCGTCGGAAGCCGTCTTTGCAGCCTCTGGGCCTTCTTGGGGTGCTTCGGGGCCGTCGTAGAGGCCATCATGGGCGTCTTCGGGCCCTCTGGGGCCGTCTTGGGGACCCCTTGGGCCGTCATGGGGCCATCTTGGAAGCCTCGTGGGCGATCTTGGGGCGATCTTGGGGGCCTATTGGGCCGTCTTGAGCCGTCGGAATGACGAGAAGAAGCGAATCTCGAAATCCTTCAATGTTTTTGGCTCTTCGGTCGTCTTGGGCCGTCTTGGAGGCCTCTTGGGCGAACGTGTGGAAGTATCTTGGACTCTCTTGGGCCGTCTTGGAGGCCGTCTTGGGCGGACTTGGAAGCCATCTTGGAACATCTTGGAGGCCATCTTGGGCCAACGTGCCATCTTGGAGGCCGTCTTGAGCGAAAAAGTGGGGAAGTGTGTTCCTTTTTCGGGTGGACGGCAGGACGGGCCGAAGCCCCAGGGGAAGTTCTTTTGGAAAAAGAGCCAAACAAAAAACCGAAAGGGTCCAGCACGCCAGGCACCCCTTCGATGAATCGACAGGAGGCGGCGGATCCCCTCGCTCACACACCGCGGCGTGCAGACAGCCATCCTGTTTCTTCTGCGTGGTGCATTTACGGATGATCGTCTTTCTGTCACAAAGCGCCTCCCCCCATGCCCCATGGAGTTTGGCTTCCGCGGCGCGCGCTGCGCTGGCGAGCGGCAGCGCTCAGGAAGCCTGGGGCCTGTTGCCCGATTGCAGCCCGAAGCTTTTCATGATCGAACTGGCGCCCTTCAGATTCCCTGCGGACCGGGGCAAAAATGACTGTGGCATGCCTTGCCACGCGGCTCGCTGTCCGAAGCCAGCGCGGGACTGCGCCGAAGACGTCGGGGCGCTGCTCCACTAACTCGGCCTGGACAGTCGCAGCAGCTGTTGGTAGCTGTTCTGCAGGGTGCGGGGCATAACCCCTCCGCCTGCGCGCGTTTCTAGCGTTCGGGGCAGCGCGTTCAGCAGTGAATTGCCCCGCTGCGTCTTGACCTCTGTGGTCTGAGCCAATCTCGACACGGCTTCTCTTCACGCCCTGGCTTCGCGCTCTCTGTCTCCAAGAGGGGCAGCTCGGAGGGCGATGGCCGCCGAGTTGTCCCCTACGAAGCTTGCGATGTCTTGTGCCGAGACCCGAGACCAAGTTGCAGCGGGTAGCCCCGCTGCGTGTTCCTCGTGCTCGTTGTCGCTAGGCTCGTCTTCCTCGGGAGGTCCAATGCCTTCTGGTTTGAGAAAGACTTCGTTCGCGCGCAGGCCAGCGTCCACAGAAATCGCCTGTTTGGAAGGGATGAGGTCGACTGGCCTGCTGGACAGTTGGGGCGCCATCAACTTCGCGCGAGGCGACGAAGGCGCTCGCGCTGCGCGCGGCGCCAAGCCGGTTGGCGTCGACAACGCGCGAGAACAACCACCGGCCCACTCGCCGCTTGGCCTCGACGAAGCCGTTCGGCAGATCGAAGGGGGGCGTGAGAACGGTCTCGCACTCACGCACCTCAGTCCTCATTTTCTCGAGGTCGGACAGGTTGCACAGCGTCGAGCTATGGGCCGCGGCGGTATACAAGCGTCAGGACGCCAACCATTCGATAACACAGCTACCAGGATATCTGAGCGTTGGCTTTGGCATGAAGGCCGTTTGCGCCCGTTCGACCAACCGCGCGTTTTGGGGCCGCGTCGTCAATCCTCGCCCAGCACCAGGGCGCGCTCGAGCTTCTCGGGGGCAAGCTCTTGCAGATGGAACCTCCCCAAAGAGCGCAATCTACTTCGCCTTCGGGGCTGGCCACTCTTCCCTTCAATACGCCCCCCAGCGCAGCCCTGGTTCTGCCTTGACCAAAAGCGACGGCTGTCTGGCAACCGTCGCAGGCAGAGAATGCCCTCGAACATCCGGTCGTCCTACCGTCGACACTGCACCTCGGTTGGTTCGTTTCGTGTCGGACACGGCCGCACTGAAGTTCTTACGCAAGCAGCGCAGGAACCATAAGTTCAAATATGCGATCTTGTGGGCCTCAGAGAACAGGTCGGTGGAGGAGCGGCGGCGAGTGCAGATTCTGAGCAAAATCAACAAATTCACCATTGAGCATGAGGACTACGAGGCGAAAGACGTCGTCGTGAACTACAGGCCCTTCGAAGTGCACGTGCGCAATGGCCAAATGTCGGTGCTCCTGGCCGATGTCCTGGACGACGCTTCCGCGAAGTGGGCCGAGGGGGAGCATTCGGCAGGAGAGATCTTGAAGGGAGCAATTGAGGAGGTATTGGAGGAGATGTATCTCTAGGGACTCCGGACAGCCAGGCCTTAGACCACGACATGCACGACGAATTCATCAACATACGCATGTTTACCAAGAATTTGCAAAGCATCCATGACGAGAATCGGTTTCTTGTTTTTTGCAGGAGTTTGACAAGTTGCAATGTGATGTTGCTTTCTTCTCGGAGACGTGGCGCAAAGATCGAGGAATTGATATCTATCCCAGATGGGGGACAGCTTTACTTGAGTGGAGGTTCAATGCACAGAGGTGTTGGCATCAGCATCTCATCAAGATGTTCATCGCGTATTTCGGAAAGTTGCTTTCAGACATACTCTCCAAGACTGTGCTCCTTAGATTTTCGATTGGGCGGCAAATTGTTCAGGGCCATTGCGTGTTACTTCCCGACAGCTTGGGACAACGAAGACGTTGTGCAGGAATTATACGACGCTTTGTCTCTGCTGCTTCTGGATTGCGGTTCGCATGGTCGAACCCCTTTGGTCGGCGGCGCCTTCAATGCATGTATTGGCGCACTTACTGTTTGCGATGACGTTGATTCCCTGGGCGCTTGCGGGAATGGGCCCCGGAGCGAACGTGGAAGTTTGATGGTGCAATTCGTATTGGAGCACGGGCTGCGCATCTTGAGCGGGCAGTCGGTGGCAGAAGCTGGTGAAGACGGCTGGACCTGCAGACGCACTATGGACGGGGCATTGGCGCAGCTAGACTTTATCCTGGCAGGTGGCCGCGTCCAGTGCCACAAGACATCGTACGACAATTGCTTGCCAATCGGTCTTGACCATCGCTGCGTCCACGGCGTTGAGCAGCTGAGGGTGCAGCGGGACAGGTCCACCATTGAGGGCGGGCGCAAGCGGCGCCAGAAGTCGTTCAAGAAGTGGAAACCCAAGCTGGACGAGCGGGGCCAGCCGCAATATGTTCAAGATGACTTGAGCATGTTGGTGCTAGAACATGGGAGTACGGCGTCTTTCGAGCAGGTCGAAGCAGCCTTTCAAGATGCGGCAACGAAGTTCGGTTACACAGCGACCCACAAGCTACGCTCCTGTCCAAATTCACATATCCAAGCACTCCGGGCTCAGAGACGACGGTCCCACGACCAGGCCGAGTGCCAGCAGCTCAGCTTCGAGATCCGGCGCTTGCAGAGACAGGAGTCCGGAGCACGGATGACAACGCAAGTGGAGGACATCATAAAGCATTCAGAGCACTGGCACGAGGTCAAAACGTTGTTGTAGAAGGTCCAAGGGAGAAGCCAGCCCCAACCACCATCCGAAAATGACTTTGCGCAATTCCTCGGCGGCTTGATTTGCCTGAGCACCGCCGGCGCCAGAAAGACCGCAGGTTCCCTCGGAAGTCCGGTTCTCGGCGACAGGACTCGACGCCGCGGTTGGCAGAATGAACGCGGAGCGAGCTTCTGATGGCGTCGGCCTGGTTGCAGAACTTCTACACAACGCGCCAGCTTCATTCGGGAACTCATCGTTATCACTGTACAACAGAGTATTGCTGGAGGGGAGAGCTGGCGACGAACCCTGTTCCAGATGCTTCCGAGAAACGCGAAAGCTGTATCTGTTTTTGATTACCGGCCCATCGCCAGCGCACGGGTCTTGTACAAGTTACATTTGCATATTTGGTGCTGCTTAGAGAAAGCGTTGGTCAAACACCAGCTTGAAGAACAGCATGCGGTCCTGGCCGATTACCGCATCGAGGAGCACCTCCTGACAGCAAACATGTTCTTGGACAAGCGAGGTCAGTTGGTGTTCCATTTTGGGCTGTGAGCTTGGACTTGTCGAAGGCTTTCGATCGAGTGGATTGGACTGCTCTGTGGTCGGCTTAGCGCGGGCACGGTATCTCCGACCACCTCATATGGATACTGCAGGTGCTTTACGAGAACCAGACCGGGCAGGCGAAAGGCAACTCTCAACGCAGCGACCCTTGTGGCATCCGAGCAGGAGTCAAGCAAGGTTGCGTTCTCAGCCCAGGGCTCTTCTGCTGCTTGCTGGAACGGGCGATGGCCCGTCGGCGACAAGAATCCGGAACAGCAGGCTTGAATTTGGAAGATGGGCTACGCAGATGACCGGATTTACGGTTTGCTGACGACGTTGATGTTTTGTCAGGTCACAGAAATGACTACCTACCAGACCACCCCAACCCAACCCGAAGACCCGAATTTCGGGTTGGGGGGGGGTAAGGGTTCCACATGTGTTTTTTCGATGTTTCCCGACCCCCCCCCCACTAGAAATCGAGGGCAAATCTGAGCCTTCGGGTTGGGTTGGGGTGGTTTGGTGGGTGGTGATCTAGAGAGGGGCTGCGATGCTTTCGACGCCGCTGGTCGGCGAACTCGCCGCAGTCGGCCCGGTGCGGGACGCAGACGCAACCTGTCGCCCCGACTATATACCGAGGCGCCGCCGCCGGACGAGCTTCTGCCCCCCTCGAAGGATTGCAAAAAAAAACCCAAGGATTGCAAAAAAAAACAGGATTGCAAAAAAAACAGGATTGCAAAAAAACCCAGGATTGCAAAAAAAGACCAGGATTGCAAAAAAAACCCTGGGATTTTTTTTGCAATCCTGGGTTATTTTGCAATCCTTCGTGCATGCATCAAGCGTGCGAACCTCTCGCAAATGGTTGGGATGCAGATTGTCAGCAGACGCTGTGAAACAGGACCAGGAAAACCACCTCCAAGCTGCTGCGAGGGCCTGCTTCGCGAGCCGGAGGACCCTCGCGGCGAAGCGTGCATCGGTCGAGCTGCGCTGGAATCATTTTCAGGCGGTCAGCACCCCGATTGCTATGGTTGGCTCTGCGCACCGCGTGATGTACGCAACAGACAGGAAGAAGCTGAACGCTGCGCGTCGCAAGCTTCTTCGACAAGTTGTCGGGCCGCCGGGCGGGGCTGATTGGACTAGCCCACGGCATGAGATTTTGCACATCTGGCACGAGCGTGTGTCCGACAACTTCCAGGGCACCCAGACCAAACTGTGGTCGGAGATACTGCTTCGACAATACTGGAACTTCGCCGGGCACGTCGCCAACCTGCCCGTCGAGAGGTGGCTATCTCGTGTTCTTGCATGGGCACCTGCCGGAAACAGGTCCCAAGGGAGACCGCGGAAAACGCGGGAGTCCGATGTCCAGAGCTTCTGCGACAAGTACGGGATCGGTGACTGGAGAGTAGCAGCCAGAGAAGCACGTTCTTGGAAGTGCATGACCCGAGATTTCCTTCACCACATGAGCGCCTGCTAGTTTGCACCCGCCTGTGCCCTAACCAGATCGCGAGCCATAGTGCTTGGGGTCGCCGAGCTGAGCGGCGCCCTCTTCCCTGTCGCGGTCACGGATCTCCGTCGGGGACACTCCTCCTCTGCTGTAGCCGAAGCCTCCATTAGAAGAGGTTGACCGGCCGTGGCTCGTCCTCCTCTGCGTGGAAGATGGTCGTTTAGTCCGTCAAGGGCATGATGTCCACGTCGAGGTACTACATGGCCTTGTAGGCATTGCCCTTCCAAATGAATATTCTTGGCCATGTGAGCCAGTCGGCAATCGGGCGACCCTGCCGGGCGCGGGCCAGAACAGTCTGCCTGGGGAATGTGGCATGGACGCCCGCCGCCTCTAGGAGCGCTGAGGCGGCGCGGCGCTGGGCCCCGCTGGGTGAAGCTCACGCGCTGCAATTGTTCGACCAACTGAGCGTCCGTCAGTTCCGCCAATCTGGTCGCCATGTCTCAGGCGAGGGCCATTATAGTCCTCCAGGGGCAGGAAGTCACAGACCACCGCAGACCCCGCTCGCCCGTCCTTGCTGTTCCTCCTGGACTGGAGGCGCGCTCCCTCCCAGCCCCGTTGACCCCCGTCTTGGATCGCACTCGCGTTCTCTTGTCGGGGGCGCGGACTCCTCGCCGGCTCCGCTGACGCCGTCAGCGAGGGCCGACGGCAGTCCAGGAGGGGCGCGCCTCTGGCCGTCATCGGCAGCCTGCATGACGACGCCCCCGTCTCCAGCATGCTGGGGAGGAGGCGAACGTTGCACTGGCCGCTGCAGGTGTCGCCCTGCGCTGCCACTCGTTGCCGGCCCTGCTCCCCGGAGCGGGGGCCCTTGACGGAGCGGCCCCAGCTTGCTGCGATCCCGTCGCTGGCCACGGCATGGGTTTGGGCGCCGCGTCCTGCCTGGCCTCGGGGAAGCCCGAGGCCAGCGGCGCCGGCCACCCGCGTCCGGCTGTCGCCCTCCGCCCGAGAAGACGAGGGAGTCACGGGCGGCGCCCCGGGCGGCGGCGGCATGCGTCTGCGACGGCGGCGCCCTGGCTGGCGGGGGAAGCCCCCCGTGCGCCTGTGGCTCCGTCCGCTTCGGGGGCGCGCCGGGGGGCGGCTGCGGCGGCGCCCGCGCCCGCGGCGGCGCCAGTGGCGGCGGCAGCGGCGCGTCGCGGGCCCTGGCGGCGGCGCCGCCGCCCTGGGCGGCGACGGCTGCGTCTGCGACGGTGCCACGCCTGGCGGCGGGGGCGGAGCAAGGGCTTGCGCCCGCGGCTGGGTCCCACCGCCAGCGGCGCAGCCGCCAGTCGGCGCAGCCTCAGCCCGCCGCGCGAAGTTTTCCCGCAGGCAGAGGCGCCTCGGGGGCGGCAGCCTAAGGTGCTGGGGAGGCCCTCCTCAGTCTCGGGCCGGAAGCCGGGATGTAGCCCTTGCGCCGCGAGCAATCCCGATGAGCTGCACTGTCGACTACCCAACTGGCCATGCGCCCCTGAGCACTGAGGGCGCCAATTTTGGAGAAGTGCGGGTAGTAGTCTCCTGCCCAATTTGGGCGCTGGACGAAGTCCTCTGGAGGAAGATGATCGCCGACATGCTTGTAGACACCAACATATGACAAGCCCTCGTCTGCTTTCATGACCTCGCGGAACAATATGTTTCCGGCCAGCGCCGTCTCGTCGACGTTGTCTGCGATCTCCGCGGGAATCAAGGGCCCTGAAATCTATGGCCCTGGAGTCGAGAGGGCCCAGGAATCGAGGGCCCAGGAGTATAGGGCCCTGGGTCCTATGGCCCAGGAGTCTAGGGCCCTGGAGACCGGGGCCCAGAATTCTTGCACCGCGCAGTCTAGGGCCCAGGCGCCTAGGGCCCTAGAGTCGAGGGCCCTAGCGTCGAGGGCCCCAGAGCCCGGAGCCCTGCAGTCTAGGGCCGAGGAGTCTAAGGCCCATGAGCCCACGGCCATGGAATCTGGGGCCGAGGACTCTAGGGCCCAGGAGCCTAGGACCTAGTGGTCTAAGGCCCAGGGTTTCTGAAGCCCTGGAGTCTAGGGCCGTGGAGTCTGGGGCCCAGGAGTCCGGGGCGCTGGAAACTAAGGCCCAGTAGTCTAGGGCCCTGGAGTCTGGGGCCCTGGAGTCGAGGGCCGAAGGATCTGGGGCCCAGCATTCTAAGGCCCTGGAGTCTAGGGCCCAGGAATCGAAGGCCTTGGTGTCTAGGGCCCAGGATTCTAGGGCATTGGAATCTAGGGCCCAGGAGTCTAGGGCCTTGGAATCTGAAGTCTTGCTCCTTTGACTATAAGGCTCTAGGGCCTAGGAGCCGAAGGCCTTGGCCTCTAGGGCCTGGGAGTCTAGGGCCCAGGAGATCAAAACCTATGGCCCAAGAGTCCAAGGCCCAGGGACGCAGGGCCCAGGAATCTAGGACCCAGGGGTCTAATTAGGGCCCCGGAGGGCCCAGGAATCGGGGGCCTTGGAGTCTAGGGCCCAGGATTCTAGGGTTCTGGAGCTCAGGGCCCGAGAATCTGCGGCCAAGGAGCCGAGGGCTTTGGACTTTGGGGTCCTGGATTCTAGAGCGCAGGAGTCCAAGGCCCCGGAATCGGTGCCGGAGAAACCTGTTGCCTTGGAGTCTGGGGCCCAGGAGTCTAGGCCTCTGGAGGCTGGGGCCCAAAGGTCCAGGGTCAGGGGAATCTGGGGCCCAGGCGTCCAGCGCCCTCGAGTCTGGGGCACGAGTGTCTAGGGCCCAGGGGCCCGGGGCCCCGGTCCCTGGGGAGCAGGAGTCCACGGCCCTGGCGTCTGGGGCCCAGGAGGTCCAAGGCCCTGGAGCCTCGGAGTATGGGGCCCAGGAGTCTCGGGCCTTCGATCCTGGGGCACGGGAGCCTAGGGCCCTGAAGTCTGGGGCCCAAGCGGGGGAGGAAGCGACGACACGAACAACGAGACGAACGCCCAGAAACTATGGCCATGGCGAGGGGGGGGCACAAACGAATCGAAGACGAAACGAAAAGCGGAACGAACACTCCATCGACGGAAGAGGCCACGGCTGAGGCTGGGGCCGAGGTTGAAGATCAGGCTGGGAACGCAACAACAATAACGGGGGGGAACAATGGAACGAACAACGAAACGAACGCCTGTAAACGGTGGCCATGGCGAGGGGGGGACAGAAACGAAACGAACAACGAAACGAAACGAACGCCCATAACTACGGCTGAGACTACGGGAGAGACTGGGGCCCTCGGTGAAACTCTGGCCAAAAATGCAACACAAGCATAAAACAGCAACATCGAAACAGAAAAAGAAACGAACGCCACAAAACTACTGCTCAAGCGAGGGAAAAACTGCCCGGCCTCGAGCCACCGGAAACGAACAATAACATAATCAACAACAACAACAACAACAACAACAACAACAACAACAACAATCATTTTACCCGAACGCTCAGTGTTCTCACCAGTGCCAGGGTTTTCATGCGACGCGAGACAATACCCCCACTTCGTGGGGGGGCAGTTCAAGCTCTACCAAATATCCAAACGACTCTTCGCGACCACCCAAACCCAGCTTCCCGCCCTATGACGTTGGGACACTTCACTTCGTGGCGTGCGGACGACCGTGGCTACTACACTGGCGTGGGGTACACACCCACAGAACTTGGTCACTTATTCGGGGCGCGCGTGTGCCCAGCATCCTGCAATTGTGACATACAATACATGACACAGACAGACAGAGAGAGAGACAGAGAGCAGACAGAGAGAGAGACAGAGAGAGCGGAGTTGGTCACATTTTTGGGGCAAGTTCCTGAGATCGTCGTGTTTTTTGTTGGTCTTGCGCGCGCGAATGTCCACTTTACTTTTTTTTGCAAGGGAGTATTGAAATTTGATTATGTTAGAACAAGAAAAAGTAGCTCGCGCGAGCTCATGTAACATAAATGTTGAAAAACCATTGGTTTTGTGGGAGTCGGACAGCGCGCGCGGGATGAAATTTGGACATTTTTTTTTGAAAAACCATTGGGTTTTTGATGTTTTTATGTTGAAATCGTTATGAAACCTAAGGTTCTGGAAGGATTTCGTCTTGCGCGCGCGAATGTCCACTTTACCTTATTTTTTGCAAGGGATTATTGAAATTTGATTATGTTAGAACAAGAAAAAGTAGCTCGCGCGAGCTCATGTAACATAAATGTTGAAAAACCATTGGTTTTGTGGGATTCGGACAGCGCGCGCGGAAGGACATTTTGACAATTTTTTCTTAAAAAACCATTGGGTTTTTGATGTTTTTATGTTAAAATCGCTACGAAACCTAAGGTTTTGGAAGGATTTCGTCTTGCGCGCACGAATGTCCACTTTACCTTATTTTTTGCAAGGGATTCTTGCAATTTGATCAAGTAAGAACAAGAATTTTCATTTTATAGTGTTTTTTGCAAGGGAAAACGAGCGTCAACAAAACAACCGGATCCGGTAACAATCCACTTTTCTGAAGCTTTCGCTAGAAAATGAAGGAAATGAGGCTGCGGCCTAGGTTTTGGAGGGGGGTCGCGCACCAGGGGCCCCAACAATAATTATTCTTAAGAAGAAATAATGTTCAATCATTCTACCCGAACGCGTGGTGTTCTCCCCAGTGCCAGGGTTTTCATACGACGCCAGGCAATACCCCCACTTCGTGGGGGGGCATTACAAGCTCTACCAAATATCCAAACGACTCTTCGCGACCACCCAAACCCAGCTTCCCGCCCTATGACGTTGGGACACTTCACTTCGTGGCGTGCGGACGACCGTGGCTACTACACTGGCGTGGGGTACACACCCACAGAACCCAATGGTTTTTGGAGATTTCGGCGTGCGCGCGCGAAGAAAAAACGAATGTGTCCCGCATGGTATTATTTGACAGGGATGATGGCCCTGGCAGGTGCGCAACCGTTGTCGCAGAAGTTCGAAAAAGTTGCTCGCAAAAGCCCGTTTGACAGAAATGTTTAAAAAGTGTTGGGTTTCCTACGAATCCGCAAGAGCGCGCGGGATGAGATTTTGACATTTTTTTGTTGAAAAACCATTGGTTTTTTGATGTTTTTATGTTAAAATCGCTCCGAACACTAAGCTTTTGGAAGGATTTCGTCTTGCGCGCGCGAATGTCCACTTTACCTTATTTTTTGCAAGGGATTCTTGAAATTTGATTATATTAGAACAAGAAATTCATTTTATAGTGTTTTTTGCAAGGGAAAACGGATTACAACAAAACAACCGGATCTTGATCACCTCGAATTACCTGAGGCTTCCTCACGAAAATGATGAAAACGTGGCTGCGGCCTAGGCGCGGCGGGGGGGGCGCGCACCAGGGGGCCCAACAATAATTATTCTTTAGAATTAATAATGTTCAACAACAACAACAACAACAACAAATACAACAACAACAACAACAACAACAACAACAACAACAACAACAACACGAAGAACGGAACGAAATATTAGGCAATCAACGGCGCTCCGATTCCACGCAGTCAGAACATGTAAGCACGACGGCGGCGCGACACGAAACGAGCAACCAAACGCACCACGGAAAGAACGGAGCAAACAAAACAAAACACGAAGCGCAACCTTGGAACCGAGGCAACACAAAACGAACAACGGAACGCTCAACAAACAAAAAAACAACCGCGCAAACTTCATGCGCGCCTGCAGCAACAACGAACACCGCAACGGAAAAAACAACGAATAACCAAACAACACACCAGACAAGGGTCAACACCGAAATCTTTTGCGCTTCTTAAAGTCGCGCCGCTGTTAACTTCGGTTACTTGGGCAACAATCTTTCACACCAGTCGTCGCGCTGTGGTCGACCATTGGCGTTCCCAAAAAGGGCTCCGCCGCGTCGCCGCCCGCAGGGGGCGCCCCGTGGGCGCCCCCGGGCCCCGCTGGGTGGGGGGCCTGCCGAGGGCCGAGGGCTCTCGCCGCCCGCGGGCGGCCCGTGGGCGCCCTGCGGGCGCGCCGGGTCTGGCGTCGCCGGGGCGCCGCCCGCGCGTGCCCCGTGGGCGCCACGGGGCGCACACCGCAGAGCTCGCACCACGTGCTCCAGAGTTCGTGATAAAAGGGAGGGGGTCTGGACCCTCCAAGACAAGCCATTTCAGACCTCCCCCGTGGGAGAACCCTCCAAAACATCGTCCCCAGACCCCCCCCCCCGGCCCTCCAAGATGGCCTGGAAGAGACCCCCCCCCCGAAATGAGACCCCCCTCCCTTTATTACGAAATCTGGAGTAGCTTGCGCCAAGTAGCTCGAGACACGGACGATGCATCGAACAACTCGCCCCGGATAGCTTACACGGCATAGCATGCACACAGCTCACACTACACAGCTTGCGCCAAATGGCTTGCTGCCAGCGCCAAGGCCAGAGACACCAAAGTGGCAACGTAGTACGAGGAACATCGATGCGCTGGCCGCCTTGCCTTTCACGTTCGCCTCTCCGTTCCCCTCTGTTCCCCCTCCACCTTCCCACCCCATCATCACTGTCGTCCTCACGATGTCCTCCTCCTTCCGAGTGAGAGAACGAGCGGCCGCTGGCACTTGGCGGCCTCGACTGGGGAGGGAGAGGCGAATCGGAGGGGCATCACGAGGCATAGATAATAATGAACATTGAGCGAACGAACGGTGGCAGACACGCAATGCAAGGTGTTGGCGCGAACGAGCAGAAGAGCATTCAATGTTTCCTCGACGTGCGAGCCACTCTTCTCGTCCTGCTCCGAATACACAGTACATATTTGCGGTGAGGGCCACCAACAAGTGAAACTAAAGCAGCCCCTCTCAATCGTCGCTGTCGTCATCGCCTTCCTCATCTTCAACCTCAACCTCGTCTTCGTCATCATATTTCAGTACTCCTTCGAATTGCCTGGCTTCGTCCCCGGCCTCAGCTGTACGGACCTGGCGGCGCTTCACGATGTCACAAATATCCCGCGTGATCTGGCAGCAGTAAGCATCCATTGGCAAATCGTTGGCGTCGGTGCCGAACGGGTTCTCGATCTCCACGGCAAGGTTCTCCAACCCAATCACCACATCACAATAAAACATAACAAACAAGACGGTGTACCACCCGTTGTCTTTTACCAGAAAGAACGGGATTGGCATGCAGTAAACGAAAATGGCGGTGTGCACATGCGTGATGTACGCATACGGCATCTGGGTGTACAATACTTTCTCCTGAGCGGCCAGAAACCTCAATCTGCCCGCCCGCCCCTGCTGGGATCAGCCAGCCCGAGCCACACTTGATTCCCATGACGCCTCGCCCTCTGGAGGATCGACGAAACATCCACAAAACGGTGGCCTCAAGGACGTAAGCATCCGCGAAGTCTATGTCGCATGGATCGGCATGTGTCTGCCTTCGACCTCACCTTTGCCTCAGCATGTAGCCAGCGCAGATCGAAAGCCCCGCCAATCGAAAACATCATCACGCCAACGGTAACTAATGATGTCACGTTTGCTCGAACGGCTAATCGGGAACACTGCCAAGAGCCTATGCGAACGGTCACTTCCTTGAAACGATCCCCATCTCCAGAGAAGCTAGACCCTGGACGGAAATACGTCACAATAGAAATGGCCACAGTTGGCCACACCGCCCAGAACCTGACGAAGATCCCGGCAATGTTCCCTCGCTTCCAGAAGGGGGCGACGCGCAGTTGCCACAAACCCATTTCACAACCTCGTGCCCCGGGCGTGTTGTTTGATGGGACTGATTTCCACCACCACTACCATATGTTGGAGAAGGAGGAGGAGGAGAAAGAAGAGGAGGAGGAGGACCTCTCCCTCCGACCTATGGTAGTGGTGGTGGAAACCAAGCCAATCGTTGTTTCTCGCTCGTCCGCCAGATCGCGCCTCTGCTGGAGCTGCCCTGCCGGCAAGCCGCGTGCCATGCCACGGGGCACGGCGCGAGGCGTCCCCAGGCGACAGATTCTAAGCGCGGCGTGCCCGGGTGAGGCCCCAACGATTCCAGCAGGTATGGGGAAAGTGAAGGTCGTATAGGGTCGTATATCGGGGAGACGTAAGACCCGGGTACGGGAGACTCGGAAATCCCCGACGAGGTCGTCAAAAAAATGACGAGGCCGAGCCTGCATTTTGACGAGGCCTCCCGCTGCAGACATCCCACAAAACTCATCCTCGTCAAAATCCGAGTCGCGGTCGTCAAAAAACGATGGCGAACCCGAGTCCTGGCAAACCCGGGTCTTACGCTCCCCCGAGTATAGGGTCCAAGGCTTTAGGGTCTTAGGGATACGACCGCATTGAGATAGAGCACCCTGTATCCCTTCAAGGTTTCTCATGACCTTGGAAACGCGTGTCCAAGAAGGGCTCGGAGAACCATCGGGGGCTGTGGGAGCCCTCCGTCCCTCGCCCCGTCCCTCGGTTCCCTCTCCCGGGGGATGCCCGCGGCGCGGCGCCGGCCACCCGGATCGCCCTCTCTGCGGGACTGCAGCTCGGTGGGCTTCGCATGCTCGTAGAGGTACGCGAGGCCCTCGGGCGTCAGCAGGCTGCTCACGAGGTCCTCTGCGAAAGGGTGGGGGGCGCGGGCCTGGCCTCGCAGGTGCTGCGAAGGCGCCCTCATATGAAACTCGAAGACGAAGACCTTGACACACGCGGGCCATTGCTCCCAGGCAAACCCACTTGGAGGGGCTACTTTACAAGAAGCCAAAAGCGTTAAGGGCCAGGGAAGGGGTCCAGCAATCCGACTAATCGTAAAACCCCGATTGCACAACGATCACGATGCCCCTGGCAAAGGTGCCACTTGACAGCACACCGCGCTGCAGACTGCCCATAGCATCACTTAGCAATGCAGCGACAATCTGAATCCCTGTATGTTCGAACCGACGCTCGCTGCAGCAAGAGGCAGGTGTCACATGAGGAGGACGAAGGGCAGAGAAGGAATGCCGAGGTGAAGAACGACGAGAGAGGGAAGGCGCAACATTCGCCATTTTGGTCCAAAGCATCGTTGAGGCTCGATGGGGCAGAGCTACGTGATTCGCCGCGTGGGCCCCACATGTCTAGACACGTCTATCAACCATGCACTTGGCCTCATGCGGATTTTCGGCCAAAGCCATCACTTCTCCTCGCGCAGATCATCAGCACACGAAGCCGCGTGCAAAACCCCACAACGGCTCCATAGCTGACGACGAGCACATCGACCTGCTCGGACATAGTCCAAACAGTCTTCACGACTCCTTGCAAACTTCACGCTTCTTTTCCCATCGCCGCACGAGTCATGAGGATCAAATTTGCCTCTGAGCGCCAGCATCTGGCACCCGAAAAGTTTTCCCAGATGCGGCAGTCAAAACACCGAATGGCAACATACAAAGAGTTGCCGATACATCTCCGGCCAAACACGTAATGTGTCTACCCTTTCTCCGTGCCGATCCTAACCCCGCTCTGTATTTCGACCAACCGAAGATCCACGAATGACTACCTAATTACCAGATCACTCCAACCTAACCCGAAGACCCAAATTTCGGGTTGGTGGGGTACGGGTTCAACATGTGTTTTTGTTCAATGTTCCCCGACGCCCCCCCCCATTGGGAATGGATGGTAAATTTGGGCCTTCGGGTTGGGTTGGGGTGGTTTGGAGGGTGGTGAACTACAGCGAATCACCAGATAAGCATCAGATCCCCCCCAGCCAATGGACTCACAACCGCTGGACTCCCCGCTGCCATGCATCAGACGGCCTGCTCGGGAGGGCAGTGCATGTTCGGGGCGACTGTGCGCACGCATCCTCTTCGCCACTACCCCAGGAAGCATTTAAGAATCCCCCCGGCGATATCGTAGCACCGCATTTTTTATTCGATATTCCAAAAGGGCCGAAATAACCGAACGATAGCTGTAGCACCCGGACACGATGATGATGATGATGATGATGATGATGATGGTGATGATGGTGATGATGATGATGATGATGATAATGATAATGATAATGATAATGATAATGATGATGATGATGATGATGCTGATGATGATGATGATGATGATGATGATGATGATGATGATGATGATGATGATGATGATGATGATGATGATGATGCGGATATGGATGATGGTGCGGAAGGGTTATCGATTTGCCGGAGGGGGGGGGGTTCTTAAATACGACCCGTTCGAGCAACGCGGGGCGGCAGAGCACCCCGAGCGCAGCCGAACGCACGGCGCCACCCGAGCGCGTGGCCAAAGCAGCGCGGCCCACGCCGAGCGCCCCCGCCGAGCGGAGCCGCGCGGCGGGCCGGGCGAGGAGGCGCGAGCGAACGTCGCGGGCCGAGCGCTTCGCAGGGGGTGCCACCGCGGCTCGAGAGGGTGGAGCTGGACTTCTGCTTGCTCCCGCACGGGCTCGGGGCAGGAGCAGGAGGGGCGGGCCACGAGTCGTGCCGGGAAGCAGCGGACTGGCGAGGCAAGTCGCCAGGCACGCCAGGTAGAGAGAGAAAGGTACATTCAAGGGGCAGGCTGTGCCCCGGAAGAAATCCAGATCTGGAGAGGACGTGGCAGCCGAAGGAGTAGAAGAGCCGAAGGAAGAGGAGGAGGAAAACAACGAGAAGGAAGAGAAGGAAGGAGGGGGAACAGGGGAAAGGGGCAACGGCGTTATGCTCGCGTGCATCTCCCATAGTCGAACCAACCGTGTGTATAACGATGCCCACCGCAAAGGCGAGCCAAGATGAGAGCATGTGTACATCTCATCTTAAGCCCACTGCACATCGCAAGTGATGGAAACGTGCCCGGAACAGTCTCTTGGTCGAAGCCTGCTGGCGCCAAGTCGGCGGTCCCCTCCGCGAGCGGCGTATCCGCGAGGCGCTCTCTGCGCGGGCAGCAAGCGCCGCCGCGAACGGGCACCCACGGCAAGGATCCACCCGAGAGTCCGACCTCGCCTCGGACCTCCTCCTCCTCGTCCTCCTCCTCCTCCTCCTCCCTCCCTCCTCCTCCTCCTCCTCCTCCTCCCTCCTCCTCCTCCCCTCCTCCTCCTCCTCCTCCTCCTCCTCCTCCTCCTCCTCCTCCTCCTCCTCCTCCTCCTCCTCCTCCTCCTCCTCCTCCTCCTCCTCCTCCTCCTCCTCCTCCTCCTCCTCCTCCTCCCCTCCTCCTCCTCCTCCTCCCTCCTCCTCCTCCTCCTCCTCCTACCTCCTCCTCCTCCTCCTCCTCCTCCTCCTCCTCCTCCTCTCCTCCTCCTCCTCCTCCTCCTCCCTCCCTCCTCCTCCTCCTCCTCCTCCTCCTCCTCCTCCTCCTCCTCCTCCTCCCTCCTCCTCCTCCTCCTCCTCCTCACTCCTTCCTCCTCCTCCTCCTCCTCCTCCTCCTCCTCCTCCCCTCCCTCCTCCTCCTCCTCCTCATCCCCTCCTCCTCCTCCTCCTCCTCCTCCTCCTCCACCCTCCCACCTCCTCCCCTCCTCCTCCCTCCTCCTCCTCCTCCTCCTCCTCCTCCTCCTCCTCCTCCTCCTCCTCGGCGGATGGGGCCTCGAGTGCGGACGGTACACCACAGACCGACGTCCTGCCGCGCAAAGCTGCGCGAAGTGGGACGCATGCGCGACGGTCAATCGAAAGCCTCAAGGCGGCCTCCTGGCCGCTCACAGCAGAATCCAAACAGCCCAAGCCGCCCTGGACGTTCCGAGACCGGCCTAGGGTGGCCACAAGACAGGACAGATCCTGGGGGCCATTCGGCCAGTGAGTGCCTGGGAGGCCTCCTCATAATATAGTGGGGTGGGCTACCCTCAAGGCTCACTGACCATCAACCGAAGAAATATAAATATCTTGAATAGGGCCGGGGGGTCAGGTCTGCATAACACCCCAAACGGACGTCAAGGGGCCCAACCTGTTCGGTCAAGCTGAACCTGATGCACCACACGCGGCGTCAAGCCAAAACCTTGGACATGAGCGAACGGCTGGACTTTGCACACCTTCGTCCGCTTGACCGGCGAGGCGCCTGACCACCTCGACGTCCATTTGTTGGTGGTTCTTCCGAGGAAGGCGCTCTTTGACCCTCGGCCCTGCTCAAGAAATACCCGAAGGGCCCCTGGAGCACAGAGCAGATGGCGAAATGCGAGATTGACTAGAAGCTCGGAGGATGCGCCAGTGGTCGTAGCAACTTCAGGGGGCCCGGCGCCACCATTTTGTTGTGGGTGCAAGCGCGTGAATGCTTGAGTGACGCGTGATGACGCCGATGGCGAGGGAGTTCAGGGGAGGGGAGGGCAGCAGCAGGGAGGATATAATGCAGTAGAAAGTAAGCGAGGGGAGGACTCGCGAGGGGGAGCGGAGAGGGAGAGGGAAGAGGATAACGGTGGGAGGGAGATGAGGAAGGAGGGGCAAAGAAAAGGAGGCGGAAAAGGAGAGAAAACCCCAGATACACAACGATGCTGGCATACACCCTCCCGTCTCAAGCCCCTTCCTCAAAAGTCTCTGCAAGCGGCATTTGCAACGGGAGGCGCCCGTTTGAAATACGAGCGCTCCATGAGCCTGTCATTCAAATGAGAACCGCGCTTGGAAAAAAAACTCCATACGCTCAACTGTTGAACAACGGCCAACCTCTGGTCACAGTGCCAGAAGGGGCCTCAATGGAAGCGAACATTTGAAAAGGGACTGCCCTGCACCCGTGTGACTGTTGCACGTGTTTCAACTTCTGGTCAATACACCTACGGAGACATCGACATCGAAATAACAGACGAGAGCGCAAGTTTGACAAGGAGCCGGCATCCGCCCTTGCAACGCCCCCCCCTCCCCCTGCGTTTCGAGCTGTTGTTTTTTTCCCGGGGAGGAGTGTTCGACCTCGGGGCCGAATCGTATCCGTCTGCTCGTGCTTTGCTGGGTGTGGCCAGGGCCAGGCCTGTGGCTTCGGCGTGCAACTTCGAGAGAGGGGCGTCGCCGTGCCGTCGGCCAAACGTTTGGTTGCGCGGGCCTCGCAGAATCTGGCTCGTGATCACAAGAGAAGGGTCGCACCCTGCCTTTTTTGACTGCTGGTGCTGTGTGGTGGGGGGGGGGGCATCTGTTGCCGGTCCCCCCCCCCCCCACAGCACCAGCACTGAAGGGCGGAGGCCCTGTCCAACCCCCCTCCCCCCTCCCCCGGCGTTGCAATCGCTTTGCCTTGGCACTGCGTTGCGTTCCCATTGCATTTCCATCGCACTGCGTTGCATTGCCTTGGCACTGTAATGCAATCGCATTGCTTTGCAATTGTATTGCATTGCAGCGCAATGGCATTGCATTGGCATGGCATTGCAATCGCACTTCACTGCGTTGCATTACATCGCATTGCACTTGATTGCATTGCATTGCCGTCCTCCCTCCTTCTCCGTTGCCCCAGACCCAGGAGGGAGAAGGGAGGAGCAGTGGGGTGGTGAGACGGGGGAGGGCCCGCATCCTTCCTCCTCCTCCTCCTCCTTCTCCTCCTCCTCCTCCTCGTCCCCCTCCATGGAACCCGAATTCAGGAGTGGGACCAGAGGAGGAAGAGGGACGACAAACAGGCCCCATGTCGTCTGCTCGTACGTGGATTGCATTGCATTCGCCTCCCTCGGTCCCCTTTAGGGAACAGGTAAGGGGAGGAAGGATGGAGGTGGGGCACACAAGGCATCAATCTGTGCAGGAGCCTCAAATAAATCAACACGTAGGGAATCTTCAATCCTCCCCCGTCCCTCCTC